CCATCGAATTCCCACACATTTATACAGGTCATCATTCGATCTAGTGGGGGTCGTCCTATACTGCGATGGTTAGTACGAGGTTGGTTATCGGTGCTACGAGCTTACTTCAGTGCAATACACCTAGCATAGCCCGATCCATAGCTCGCTGAGCGACTTTGAGCTTCCTCATACGGCCAGTAGTGAAAGACCACGTCTCGGTTTCTTATAACATCATCACTGGCAACACACATTGATTGAAGACTTTAGTTTCAAATATTGAGGTATATTCGACGATTTGCTAAAGTTTCAATGAAATAAAACTTTTAAATGTTAGCTAAATTATGTCTTATTGTTGTATACTTACGAAAATGTTAGCTGTTATATTTTTGAAAATGGAAGTATTTTGCTGTACTGATGTGACTATGTATTTACTTCTTTCGTACCAAAGAACTGTTAATGTTGAGAGAGTCCAAAGCGATTTATCGTTTTGCAACGAAAACATTTAGATATTACATCTCGAGCAAAAGGTGACGTCATTCCCTATCGCTACGGAAGCGTTTCGACATCAGGGATGTGTTTTTCACCGTCTCTATCGATAATGGTCCGCAGCGAATGAATCATTAGTTATCGTTGGGCTGTGGAAGCGGGACTCCGATGCATGAATATGCAAATGGCTAGGCACGTGCTACGTGACGCTTCCGTGACCCGTGTATCTATTCAGTAACAACACTACATTTAAAGGTGGAAACACACCGCCATCGGAAATCACTGCTTAGAAGCACCGTACGTCTTATCCTTGAATGGCCAGCTTAAACTATAAAGAATAGGCATTTGTGAACAGGAAGAACAGGAATTTGTTAACATAAATGATTTTTACAATAACAAAATAAAATAATTGATGATTTTTTTTTTGAAAAACTTACATTGAATTAATAGAAATATTGTTTGTAAAACAAAATAAGGTTAATTATGTTTTCCTTTATTTCATTAGATTCATACTACATTAAAATAAAGAATAGAACCTAATAGCACGTACTAACATTAATATGTTAGTACGTTAAACGCGCTTAAAGTCATCATTTATTCTCTTCGTAATTTTTTGTTACACTCTAGCGAATCATTACCATTAAAACATGAACTTGTAATGACCTGCCATGACCTTTTATATTTCTTAAGTTAGTAATGTTCACATTTACAACGTGTTATGACACTTGATAACGCAATTAATTGTTTCTTTAAAGCCAACACCTATTGCTTTATATTTTGTAAAATAATTGCTTCTAATGAAAATGAATCCTTTCGCTTTACTCTACTTATAAGAAGTCGGATTCAACATAAAGAAAGCCTAAACAGATCAGAACAATATACGATAATGATATTGAATGAAGATATATAAATATAGGTAAATTTTTCATTTTTGTTTAGATTTTATGTAACCATTTTGAATCAAAACATGTAAAACGAAGAAATTTTATAATTGTATTTATTAAGTGTCTCATCATAAACATTTCGTAAACGAAAACGAGCAAGTTGGAAGAGAACGCGACGAAATTGCTTCGAATTTCAATCAGGAAAATTCGATTATTCAATTAAGAAGATTCGTTAAAGTACAAATCGAATTAATAAATCATAAACATTTTAAAAATAGATCTATTCTCGGTTTGATATAACATACTTAAGGTAATAGGTATAAGCGATAGGGTTTCATCGAAACCGATTTTTAAACAGCATTGTTCTTTATACGATTCGTTCTTTATACGATATACCAAGTCGATGCAGAGTTAAGCCTACTTGCTTGTTTGATTTGAACGAGTCTACCTAAAAGTCGTCCCGTTTAAACCAAGGGCAACCGGTGGACGCACACGGGCTAGGTATAAAACTAGGTACAAATGCCCATTGCATGCCCTTAATAGCAGAACAATTTAAGCTTTACCAACCTACACATGCAATGAAGCTGTCTCAATGCTTGTTTGCGTTGAATAAACGACACACAGATTTTATTGATGTTATATCAGCAAACGAGCCTTCAATAATGGTCAAGGTATAGTGAAAATTATCTTTTTTTAAATTGTGACGCAAAACTACAGAATTTTGTTATCGCATCTGCCAATTGTTATTATTTTTTTTAATTTAAAACATTGCCCTTACTTTAGGATTATATTATTCTGTGTTGTAAGCATGTTTTTAAACATAAATTTCACGATTCATGCGAAAAAACTATCTGTGGTCGCAATATACAATAGTGTAATATACAATATACAATATATAATATACAAATAGTGGTCGCGTGTGGGACTCGAACCCACGAACGAATCAGATGGCACCAATCAAATTGACAATTTAAACACTGTTGTATACTTTATACCACACTGCATAATCAACCTTTTGTTGCAGGTCCTCAGACTATGTAGCGATCACTGAAGTTATGGTATCTTTTCAGTACTGATTTTTTTAAATATTTTACATATTTTATACTTTATATGTACCTACATATATTCTTGATAGTAATCTTTCGTAAAGGATGAATCATTTATGTTATCTCGGTTTGAGCAGGAAATAAAAAACAAACAATAATGCCTTTCGCTTTGTGAACTGTACATTGTTTTAAAAATATCTTCTTTAATTTAAACTTATTCTCACAAGCAAGTAAATGATGAATCTATCTACACATTTGATGCTTGTTGTTAAGGTGCACTTGTATATGCCCAATTGATTGAGCTAAATATTGTCTTTCACGTGGCTGGCCCATGATTGAGATTGGTGTTAATATCGTTCGCTTATCTGCGAAGTTATAAATATCCTCGGTAGTTGCAACTGTAAACCGTTTAATTAAAATTAAATGAATCGATATAATAGGTGGTTACCATTAATACGTAATTTTCATTAGTTCTAATTGATTGATTGTGGCTGCTATTTTAAATACGTCAAATATACTATAAGCTGTGAGTAGATTATAAAAATAATATTCGAAACAAATGTAAATACTATCAGTAGTAATTATATGAATCACGATTTATATTTTATAAGTAACGTGAAAATACATTAGTCAAACTTAATTACAAAATTTTACTCATATTTATATATAAAAGGTTATATGTATGAACTGTTCATGTTTAATCATGACATATATGTGTATCGTCTAAAAGTTACTTGATACGGTGATCTGTGGTGGAGAAACTTGATCAGAATCAGCAACCATTGACCCATTAGCCGAGATGTAAAGATCAGGAGGCGGGCGTCAATGTCTCTGCCGAGCGTTCAAGTTAGGCCATAATTGTTTGATAGTTGGGTCATTGGTGAATGTTGCTGCGATGCACGTTCCTAATTACACCATCAGTTTCATTGATTACAGCATTAGAAGCCGCCAAGGTGACAACTTAAATCTCTGTCGTTTACACAATAGTGAGAATTCAGTTTTTTAATCAGAGGTTTACGCACCTACACAACGTTTCATTTTCGACGAGGTCAATGATGTGTTTGATACCTTTGAAAATGTTTAATCTATTCATATGGCATATGTATTTGATCCGTCAGACAATGAATATCATTGGAGTTAAAGTGGCACTAGGTAGATAGACATTGTCTGTCTAAGCTGCTAAGCACGAGTAATTGTCCCATTCGGGCTTTTACCGCTGCGTTCTTGCGGCGACACGTTGTCAAACAGCGGCAGCAGAATTACATTGATTAACGCACGTGCCCATTCATCTTGGGGATCATCAAAACTTTATAGGACAGCATTGTCACAAATGTGTGGTTTGCGGGGTTACGGAATAGATACCGAAAGCCCATTTATAGTTGAATTATTATCTTTTCATTAATAGGGGTCGTGAAGAAGCAGTGGAGTGGAGGGTGGTTTCGAGTCGTTGTCGTGCAACAGCTACGTTTTTCTCCCGAATACACATATATGATATTTGCCTACGGACGTGTGTCGAAGCAGCTATCAAAACCACCCACCTAACAACGAACTTACATTAAAAATTATTTTATTCGGACACTTCACAACATACAATAATCACATTACAAAATATAATTCACAAAAATATTTAGCCATTTAAGGTGTTACAACAAATAATTTTTTTTTGTATACTTGTACGTTTGTACAACGGGAGGTTGGAGGGTGTGTGCGTGTGTGTGCGTGTGTGTGTGATGTGCGTGCGTGCGTGCATGCGTGCGTGCGTGCTTGTGTATGCGTGAGCGCCCGTGCGGGTTTGTGAGAGAGAGAGAGAGAGAGAGAGAGAGAGAGAGAGAGACAGAGAGAGAGAGGGAAAGAGAGAGAGATTTTATTTAGAAATTGGTTACGAGTATAATATGTATAATACATCAATATTAACAAACATGTTATTGTAGTACAGCATACACCTATGCGGTATAGAAGTAATAGCATATTTTTTTTATCAGGGGAGCATAAAATAATTTTGTGCCGCGTAGATGACTTGATGAGATGCGAAAGGATAATCGGTCCAGCAATGTATGGTATTGGTAAGGCAGCCGCATGTCGGAAATAACTCGTCTATCTGCTAAGGAAAGAAATTTGAAATAAAGTAAAAAAAAAAGTAAAGTAACAGCCTATACATGTCCCACTGCTGGGCAAAGGCCTCCTCTATACATAGGGTATCAGGGCATAGTCCACCACGCGGCCGCACTGCGGATTGGCGGACTTCACATATGTTCTAAATATATATATATTTTTTTGTTATTATTTCAAAAATATGCAGGTTTTTTCACGATGTTTTCCTTCACCGCGGAGTACGTGATAAGTCAGCACTTAAAGTTAAAAACTTCATTGGTGACGGCACCGTGGTGGTTTTGAGCTATGGAATACTTTACACAATCTCTTGATGAAACCTGACATTATAAGAACCTTTTGATATATCAAATTATAATGTTCCAATAAAGTTAATTTAGAAATTACCAATTTTTCGGCTGTAAGATAATTGTTCTTTTATCTATGACATTTCCTTGACGTATGCCGTAAATCTTTTTATTCTGTACTCATTCTGTTGTCTGAGGACTTGATAATAATGGCGAGCACGTCGAGGTCTGTTACTAATATTTATTTTTGCTCTTGTTTCTTTCGTACTGAAGTAAATTTGTTCTTAATGGGGCGAATAATGTGTAATTATAATTATATATTAAGTAAGTGGTTACGAGTAATAGATTTAGCTTAGACTCGATAAATTTTTATAGTTGATAACTGAGTACTACAATACTTTATTTGATGCTTGCGTTTTCTGTTGTTTCTTTAGGATTGAAGCAAATAAAGTGGTGTGCTATGCGCATCCCGATGCACCCCTAATCGAGGATTACAGAGCTGGTGATATGATTTGCTCAGAATGTGGCCTCGTTGTTGGAGACAGGTAAATTTCATTATTACGTATTGCCCAACACTTACGGTTGGTTCGGGGAAGTTGCTTTTTTTTCATAAATATGTTATAAAAATGCAATTAGTAATTTTTTCTCTTACATTTGTATGAGTAATTATTTTTATTATTCTGAAAATTAACTTTGTCAACCCTAAGGCTGTTGATGTTTTTTAAGACGCGATGTATAAGTCATTTCGGGTTGGGTTTTGAATCGAGTCGCCCGAATTTAAGTACACTGTAACTTTGTAGGGGTTAAGAAGGTTCGTACCAAGCACCCTAATGCATTTTTTTTTGCCGGAGACGCGTAAAAAATTTAATTAACTATTTTTTAAAATTTAAAAATCTTACGAAACGTGAGATGGAACGTCATTTTGACAAATTTCAGAGTGTTTTCGAAGATGCGAATAATAAAAAAATTTTAAACTATAGAGAAAAATCACTAATGAATTAATATTCTCCGGTCGCATTCAGTTTACGAGAAGAAAAAGTATTTAAAACTTGTTATTTTCACAGAAAGTACGCACATTTTATTAATTTTAAAAAGAATAGAGAATTTACTCATATTTAAACAGCTCTACGATTTTATCGTGACAAAAATTTTTATAATGACAAAAAGACATAATTTGTTTTATCTCCTGATCCCACTCTCGAGGCTACACTACCTTTTTTCTTATTGCCTGATTGGGTTACTTCAATTTTTTGGCATACTTTCTTTTTAAAGTAGATTTTTAATCCAATTAGTTTATCTAAATTTTATCTAAAAATGGAGATGTCTATAATTTTTTTTAAGTTCCGACTTTTGCTTGGTTTATACTTTACTACTACAATATATTAGGTAGCTGTTAATAAACTGTGCAGAAGCGACACATGAGTAATTTATTAGTTATACAGCAGACATATTTGAACTTGTTTGGTACAAGCTGTCCACTCCTCTTTTGTACAATTCTGCTATGGATGGCTTTCATTACTTTTCTTAGTTTTCAGTACCTTCATCAAAATAAGACCTTATTCCATTTGTTATAAATATAACATATTCATGCGATTTATTGTATACTGTATTAAAAATTGAGATATGTCTTCAACTTGGTTGTTTTTCTGTTGTAAAAATGGGTAAAACTTCAGCAGCCCACTACTTTTATATAGCAAACAGAAGAAAAATTTAAACGATAGAGAACTATAGAGACAATAGAAATATAAAAATATATGACCTAATTATTAAGTTTGACTCTTCCGTGTGCTTCGCCAGAACAATCGCTATGTCGCCCCTGTGTCGCTTCACCCACTCAGCCTTCGTTTCGACGACGACCTCCGACGCGAGGTTCTGGCTCACCCTTTTTATGTTCACTCTAGGGGTAGGGACCACAAGACCACATGGAGTCGGGGTGCTCTGTGTCGGATCTGTGACTTATTTTGAATGTAACTTAGTCCATTATTATCATATTATCATAGATTTATAAAAATCACGTATAAAACCATCAGCTTGAGTTACGTAAAGGAGAATTTAGAATTTAATTTAAATCAGTTTATAATACACATAATTTAAATTAGTTTACAATATATGGTAACATTAAGGGCTTTTAACAACAAGATTTTATAAAATTTGTAATCGAGTTTCGAAATCGATATTAGCATATTGGCTGTATCAATATTTTAGTGCCAAATCATATATCAAATTTATAACCAAAAGTATTTCCCGCTCATTTTATATTAATCAAATATGTATGTAACCTAACCTTACCTAACCTACATTATTGTAGTAGTCTTATTTTTTAATAAAAAATTATTCCAATCGGAATCAATTCGTTCAGTGCTTTTTAATTTTTTGTGTTGTCATGAATTCTTGTAAGAAAATTTGAATGTTTTAAGTGTGGACAAGACAGTGTTTTACGGAAGGTTTTTACATGTGAAAATGTTGACAATAATAAAATGGCGGATTTTCTTAGTGAAAATAACAATTTAAAAAAAAATTTAATTACTTTTTTTTTTCGAAAACTATAGACGACTATCAAATTTTTTTCATTGATTACTTAGTTAGTGATTTGTCTCTATAGTTCTCTGTCGTTTAAATTATTCTTTTGTTTGCTATATAAAAGTAGTGGGCTGCTGAAAAATTACCCTACATGATAATGGTTCACTTTTTGTGTTTTTGTGATGAAATTAATTCTAGTACAACATACATTTCTTGATTAAAAATCAATTGAAAAGAACATAATTTTTTATTCTTACAGAGTTATAGATGTTGGCTCAGAATGGCGAACATTTAGTAATGAGAAATCTGGAGTGGACCCATCTCGTGTTGGTGGACCAGAAAACCCATTGCTATCTGGTGGAGATTTGTCTACCATTATAGGCCCTGGACGTGGCGATGCATCATTTGACAGTTTTGGGGTTTCAAAATATCAAAACCGTCGAAATATCAGCAGCACAGATAGAGCACTAATAAATGCATTCCGAGAAATTAATACAATGGCTGATCGAATAAACTTACCTAAAACAATTGTGGACAGAGCAAACAATTTGTTTAAACAGGTACAAAAATTAATTTTTTAGATTTAAAATATGGTCGAGATTTTAAAATATGGTCGAGTTTATGTGTAATAATCAACCGTTCACCTAAGTTGTTAAAGCGACTGGGTGCGAAACTGAAAGACGTGGTTAGATTATAACATCCACAGCATTTTTACAAATTTTAATATTTCATTTGAAGTGCTATTAACGCTATAAAAGTTTAATTTAAATATGGGAATAGCTACAAAACTAACAATACTTTTGCATAAAGCAATGTATTCCTTTTAAGCCTAATAACTGATGTATTTTGTTTGGCCCTTTCACATAAGTATGTTGGGTAGTAAATTCCAACAACCACTTCGACTTAGAAGATATATTTTAGTCTTCACTTTGAACAAATTGCCCCCTTACTGTAGGATAATATTGTCCTGCATTGTAAGGACATATTACATGCATAAGCTTCACAAGGGCAAACATCAAAAACCTTGTAGTCATTAAATATAAATGATGTATGTATAAATTAATAGGTCTTGTGGTAAGAGTTATATAATTATTTAATATGTATACTAACAATGCCAATAACATTTCAACTAAGACAATAATATTATTATATAATATGATATAATGATTCTGCTGAAATGTATGTATTTAAAAGTATATTCACCCGTTGTATGGTATAAATCCCATTAGTACTTAAAAGTACTCATGTATTTAATAATACAGCATATTTATTTTGTTCACTACTTTTATAAACTTCCTGTATGTTAAATAATGAAATGTCAATTTTTTAGGTGCATGATGGCAAAAATCTCAAAGGTAGAGCCAATGATGCAATTGCCTCTGCATGTCTGTACATTGCATGTAGACAGGAAGGTGTGCCACGGACCTTTAAAGAAATCTGTGCAGTCAGCAAAATAAGCAAAAAAGAAATTGGAAGGTGTTTCAAATTAATTCTCAAAGCCCTTGAAACATCAGTGGATCTTATCACAACAGCAGATTTTATGTCTCGGTTCTGTTCAAACCTTGGTTTGCCGAATTCTGTCCAAAGAGCGGCAACACATATTGCACGGAAGGCTGGAGAGTTGGACATTGTGTCAGGACGAAGTCCAATCTCAGTTGCAGCAGCAGCTATTTATATGGCATCACAGGTTAATTATTATAATATTAATCTTGTTTGTGTAATAATATGTATTTATTTATAAAAGAAAAGTATATTAAATTATGTTTATCAGTTTTCTAGTACCCATAGTACAAGCATTGCCTACTTTGGACTGGAGAATGTTGTATCCGAAAATATTTATTAATATATGTTGGGTATATTTATTTGGTTTCTCTTCTTATTGGGTTAAAAAAAAACATATAGAAATATAAAGCATATAAAATAAATATTATAAATAAAAATAAATATATAGTTATAAATATTGTCTATAATACATACATAAATAAGACCCAAACAGACGGAAGCCCTCGGCAGGGGAGACCAAACGGCCGAGGGTTAGGCTGAAAGGGAGAGAAACCGGGGGACGATGCGGGCGGTATTGAGGAGCACCGCCTTCTGCATTTAACCTTGGAGCGTTCCGTCCCGGAGACCCAGTCGCCTCAGATGTTCGGCGAGGCCGACTGAGATCAACCCATTCTCACACACGACTATCAGAATAATACATTATATGAAAATATGATAATAATGCATAATGATTGATTATACTTATAAATTGCTTTGTTTATACAGAAAGCCTGCATACTCTATATTAAAACCTGGTAATTATATAGCAAAGTATTTTTTTATATTTTATAGGCATCAGAAGACAAACGCAGTCAAAAAGAAATTGGAGATATTGCTGGTGTTGCAGACGTCACAATTCGTCAGTCGTACAAGCTTATGTATCCATTTGCCGCAAAACTCTTTCCTGAAGATTTCAAGTTTGCTACTCCTATAGAGTTCCTGCCACAGATGTGAAATATGCTTAATGCTATTTCTGTCACATTACTTTTGTTTAAGCTAGAAGTATATTGTTTAAATTGTATTTATGTGGTCACATCAAGGCAGTAAATATAGACTGAAAACTAATAAATGTATGGTAATGAAATATATCATTTCAGTTGAGGTCTGAACAGCTTAAGCATTTGTTTAATAGTTTTAGACATTGTCATTGTGTTCTAAAAATTACTTCTCACTATCGATATGTGAAACTTGATGTCAAGTGATATTATGTTGAACAAACAACATTTTTTTTCCATTACTTGAATTGGAATCTTTTTTTATATTTGTAATACTTTTGAAATGATTCCAAATAACATGATTTGAATTCAAAATAAAATTGACTAAAAATTCATCCCCTATATATTTTCATATAATGTAACGTTAAGAAATGTTCATGAATGCTCACAACAATATAAGACAGATTTTGACAACAAAAAAACATACCATGCTTCATAATTGTACTAAGGTAGTGTTATACTTGTTACCTTTATTTTACTTGCATTTTGTGATAATATGTATATCTGTTGCATTATTATGGCCAATATACATGCATATTTTTTTTTGTTAATGACATGTTACAGACTTAAACAAAATCACTTTGTTCTATTTTATAACATAAGAACTTCTGTTCTTCAAATTTCATTTATTCATGTAAGACATAGTGAGTTATTTCCTTATCAAGTTAGGAAGTAGATTTTTGTAAAAAGCTTTTTCCTCAGTATTTTGTCTTCTCAAGCTAAGAAATTAAGATATAATGGATGAATTGAGGAAATAACAACTTATGTAAATCACTTGAAATAATCGTAACTGCTTTTAGCCTCGTAAGGTTAACAACTAAGGTTTAAAATAATAATGCTTCTTTAACTGTAATGGAAACATATCCGTCAATGTATGATGGTGTTAAAATTTATCATACCCGATTAATAAAAACATGATGAAATTTCATGACCTTTTTTTTGTATCAAGTTAAAAATGTGACTAAACCACATTTTTTTAACTCAAAACGGGACATTGGTTTACAATGAAAATAAACATAACTTTTTAATTTTCTTTATTCCGAAAAGATTAAAAATTAATAGATATTAAGAAAAAAATCAGTTCACTATTTTTTATTAAAGCAACATTGGTGGTTTCTTAACAACATTAACATTTCTTAGAGGAATCAGTTTCTTTTAATAAAGAAGGTAACTTAAATAAAGGTATTTTAAATAAGACGCATCGTATGAAATACATGCGCGTGGCTAGCCCATTGAAAGAAACAAAAGCCCCCTTCCCTCTCCTCTTCATCGCTTTACTAGGTAACAGAGAGCGCGTGCACTCGATGAATAACCAGGATTAACCAATCGTCAACACAGCGGTTCCACGCTGCTCATGATCATGTCTGACGAGCGTGGTTTTAAAATTTCGCGCGGTTTCGGAAAACGGGACAATTTTGCGTCCCGAAGATTTGTTTGGGGACAAAGGGACAGCTGTCCGAGAAAAGGGACAGTCCCGTTCAATACGGGACGTATGGTCAGTTCATCAATGATCCATGACATTGCAATAATTTAAATAGTTTTTCACTTTATCCTGATTAGGACCTTTAAATGTAAAAGACGTTGACGGGTGCATATTTTTTTTTTTTTTTTATGCGAAAAGTTGTCAAACGAGCAGACGGTTCACCTGATGTTAAGTGAATACCGCCGCCCATGGACATCTGCTACACTCGAGGGTTACAGATACGTTGACAACCTTTTGAAAATTGGGCTCCGGCTACCTCACTCACCAGACGAAACGCGAAAGTATTTGTCATACTTCCACTTTACGCCGGTCTTCTGTGAGGTCGTGGTACTTACCCGGACGGGCCTGCCCATTCGTGCAACAGCCGAGGCTGCTGCGTGGCCCTACCACCGTAAGTGGCATATTCCAATTCAAATAAATTTATAAACGATAGAGAAATATCATTAATGAATTAATCAACAAGCAGAATTCTCCGGTCGCTTATAGTTTTCGTTACACTACTACATTAATTTTTTATTCTGAAAAGTGATTTCTATGGTGAAAATTACAATTTTCACTATAGAAATCCGCCATTTTGTTATTGTCAATACATTAATAATTCTGCTCCTATTTCTGGGTGGTTATAAAAAATAGCCCTCGTGATTTCTTCCCGTTTTATCCTTCTAACCTAATCTACCTCAATCGGATTGCTCCGTGTCGGTTCTGTGACGCGTTAAATAAAAAAATAATAATCGAACAATTGATACAAGTATCATGTTAAAAATGTTTAAAAATAAAAGAACACGCTCTCATAATTAGCAGAACCAAAAAATTTAAATTAAATTCTAAAAAATAAAAAACACGCGTTTGTAGATAACAAAAAGTAGAAAATAATCTTCCCTATTTATAAAAATGAATTCCTATTTCCCTTGGTCACGCCATCACGCGTGAACGGCTAGACCGATTTCATTTTTTTTTGTTGTGTTTGTTATTATCAGGAGAAGGTTCTTATGAAAGTAAAATTTAAAAAATTGCCTGAAAAAGTCTAAAAACAAAACTTTTCTATATTCCCGTACAAAAGGTTCGTAAAAATACTTAAAAATCAATTTGAACTTTAAAACCATACCATTAAGTTTAAGTGTTAAGGGGTTCCGGGAAGGCAAAACAAGTGACTGTGGTAAAATGTCACTTGAAATGTAAACGTTTCTTTGCTGTGCATCACTACATAGTATAAAACAAAGTCGGCCCGCTGTTTGTCTGTATGTATGCTTAGACCTTTAAAAATACACAACGGATCCTGATGCGGTTTTTTTTACTAATTAGAGTGATTCAAGAGGAAGGTTCATATGTATAATAAATTGCACCCATGCAAAGCGGGGAGTTCGCTAGTTTTCAATAAATTTAAATTATGTGGTGTAATTAACAAAAAAAAAAGCGTCTTTTTTAGTTTTTTTAAAAACTATTATTTATTTAGCGCTAGTCTCTGCACTTAAGATGAGACTTTAGATTGTAAATTTTTATAGAAATGAACAAAAACTTTCGGCGATGATGGATTCAAAACTGCGTCTTCTGATTTCGCCGGCTCTGCGATTGTTACCTTAAGTTTCAAATATATATTTTTAAACATTGTGACTGCAGGCATATTTTTGTAAAGACATTGAAATTTTTTTTTTTGGTTTGAAAATAAGCGTTATGTAATTTTTACTAATATTACCATTTCGAATTAACAGAAAAGCGTAACTTATAAAATATATTGTCAAAACGCTGGGTATTATAAATTTTAGGGAGTTTTCTGTCATTTCAATAAAATTGTATGTAATTTTGTGAGTCCAAAAGTCCAGAAATTCACGCCACAACACCTCGATGTCCAGCGTTCCAACTAACGCGATTTTTAAGGCATTTTCGACACGCCCAACCACTCTGTGGAACCCGCTGTCGCCGACGGTCCTTCAAAACCATTACTATCTTCAAGAAGGGAGCTTATTCTATCCTAAAAGACAGGCAACGCATTTGCAAGCCCTTCCCGATGTTGTAGATGTTCATGGGCGGTAGTGATCACTTTCCATCAGGTGAGCCTCCTGGCGGTCTACCCCCTTTTTTAAATTAAAAAAGTCATTGTGATCAGTATTTAGCATTAAATAACTTGCCTTAATAAGTAAACATTGGAATGTGTAGATCAATGATGGTAATACGGTGATTTCTGCGTAGAATACCGGCATAGTCGCGAAATACCAATAGTTATTGAAGATGAAGAACAAGATCAATTGCTCGATGAAGACTAACGAGTCAAAGTCAAGAAAAGTTGGTAGGATCATTGGGAGTGAGGCCAACAAGCAGCTTCAAAATGTTTAAAGTGACTGGGAATTATTTGGAAGCAAGGATATTGGGTGCCAAACAAGTTGAAGCCGAGCTATTAGGTACTTTACTCTAAACTTATCGATCTAGTATTCTTCACGGCTCAATTCTCCAAACGTGACTCCATAGGTATTTTACAAATACACAGTCTTTAAATATGTCGCAAGTTCATAACATATACGGAAGTGTAAATCCTTTCACTGACACATAACTGTATTGAAATAGATATCAGTTACAGAAGCCCAACAAATATTACCTACGTGGGCACATTTCTTATTTTTTTTTTCACATTTGCTACTTGTATAGGCAGAGCGGTTTATTGTATAAAATATTTATTATGAACATTTGTTACGTGTGCATGTACATGGTCTACAGTATATTTTTTAAACTTTAGTTATCAGCATTAATAGGTTATACCTTTTTATTTAAAATTTCTTTGATGTTTTATACATTTTAAAGTTAAAGATCTTTAGAGAGAGCTAATTAGAGACTTAAGATTTACGAAGTTTACTTTTGTAACATTTAATTAATCGGAGCGCAATTTTAATTGAGTTCTTAACAATTTTGAGTGTTAAACTCTATTCCAATAAGAAATTGGATATATTTACACAGTCCTTAAAATTAGCTTTAAATAATTTTTAGTTATTTATTTTTTTAATAACGTGGGAGAAATGCCAAACGCGCGTGGGCAAGGACGAATTATCTCCGACTCGCACCGACTAAAACCACCAATAAACTCCCCTGAGTTCACTGGCCACTGGACTCGGGAAACAGGAGAGTCAGTCCTAATAAGCAGCAAGCATCCAAGCCTCCAGTGGCGATTCTGGTCTGTGGCTCCGTCACTCACCACGTTTCGGCCGCGGAGGTTAGGGCAGAACGGCATAACGGACACTCCTCTTCCCGCGAGCCGACCGCTACTGCATCAGCGGTGCAGCACCGCTGAGTAGTGCAGGATAGGGAGAGACTCGCCGACACTCCTCTTCCTCCGTGACGTTACCTTGGTTACAGAGACTGGAGAGACCTGTGCCCCGCACACTCCTTGCGCGCATCAAAAATGGGGTCAATGAGCCCACTCGGAGCGGCCCTCTTGGGCGTGTGGGTTCCTCCACGCTTTGCCGTCGGTGACCAAGCTACGGCAT